GCACCTGATGCAGGAGCTGAGCGGAAGGTTCCGGGTGGTGGCCCTGGACCTGCGCGGCTGCGGCGCGTCGGACAAACCTCCGGGCAGGGACAGTTACCGGCTGGAGCTGCTGCTGGGGGACGTGTGCCAGGTCATCGAGGCCCTGGGGACACCCCCGGGGACACCCCCGGGGACACCCCCGGGCCACCCCCGCTGCGTCCTGGTGGGGCACGACTGGGGCGGGGTCCTGGCCTGGGAGGTGGCCGCGCGCTGGCCCGGCCTGGTGGAGAAGCTGGTGGTGATGGACGCCCCTCACCGCGGAGCCATGGCAGGTCAGGGGGCACCGGGGGGGACAATGGGGGTACTGGGGGGCACTGGAGGGACCAGGGGGCACGGGGGGCACTGGAGGGACCAGGGGGCACCGCGGAGCCATGGCAGGTCAGGGGGCACCGGGGGGGACCAGGGGGGTACCGGGGGGCACTGGGGACAAGGGGGGCATAGGAGGGACCAGGAGGTGGCACAGGGGTCGTGGCGGTGACGTCGAGGGTGGGCGAGTCATTGTGGGGCATCTGATGACATTGTCATTGGGTGCCCTCTGCCATGGCATTGTCATTGGGTGCCATCTCTGATGACATTGTCATTGGGTGCCACCTCTGGTGGCATTGTCATTGGGTGCCCTCTCTCATGGCATTGCCATTGGGTGCCATCTCTGATGACATCATCATTGGGTGCCCTCTGCCATGACATTGTCATTGGGTGCCATCTCTGATGACATCATCATTGGGTGCCATCTCCGATGGCCATCGGGTGTCACCTCATGACCAAAGCCATTGGGTGTCACCTCTTCGGGCTGTGCCCCCTGCTTGTGCCATCGGGTGTCACCTCCTGGCCACCCCATCCAGTGCCACCTCTCGTGGTGGCCCCACCGTGTCAGTGACCCCGTGGTGGCCCCACAGTGTTTGTGTGACCCCCATGGTGACCCCACCGTGTCTGTGTGATCCTGTGGTGGCCCCACCATGTTTGTGAGACCCCACCATGTTTATGTGACCCCGTGGTGGCCCCACCATGTCTGTGTGACCCCATGGTGACCCCACCGTGTTTGTGTGACCCCATTGTGTCTGTGACCCCATGGTGTTTGTTGGTGACCCTGTGGTGGCCCCACAGTGTTTGTGTGACCCCGTTGTGACCCCACCATGTTTGTGTGACCCTGTGGTGACCCCACCATGTTTGTGTGACCC